CCTCAGCTTCCTGAGTAGCTGGGACTACAGGCGCCCGCCACAATGCCCGGCTATTTTTTTGTTGCAGTTTGGCCAGGGCCGGGTTTGAACCCACCACCCTCGGTATATGGGGCCAGCGCCCTACTCACTGAGCCACAGGCACCACCTGCAAAATATTCTTGACATGTTGGCCATTTCTTTGTAAAATTTTATAATGAATACTTTGCAAATAAAGGTACATTTAGCTACAATTCCCATTTTCCCCATGTGTGGTAACTTTTGGGACATGTATGTGTGTGTGTGTGTGTGTGTGTGTGTATATAATATTTAGGAAAGTGCTGCTGCTGCTGCTACTATTTCAGAGGGGAGACACAGAATGGAGAAGAGAGATATGGGAGTCAAGGGGCAGATGGGACAGTTCTTCCAGCTGTCTCTAATGCAACCATCCAGCCATGTCCCCGACACACCCAATGGGCCCTGGTGGACACAGAGGGATGATAGCAGTGGGGGGATGCCAGGATCAGGGAGAGAGGGGTCTGAGCCCCCCAGGAGGAATGACCCGGTGGTTAAAGGCATATTCTGGGGTGACTGCCCCCACCAAGCCCCACTTTTCCCCTCTTCCAGATGATAATTCTAATAGCCCCTACCCTGAAGGAGGCTTCCATGAAGCTTAGCTTAGCCCAGGGCCAGCAGTGTATGGGACAGGGGTTCCTTCTGCAAATATTCACTTATTGTCTACTGAGCATCTTCATTGGGCTAAATGCTGTCATGAACACTTAGGATGCAGGGGTGAGTAAACCCACAGGGTTCCTGTCTTTGGGGAGCTTTATGCTCTGATGAGGGGAGAGTTAGAAGGGACAGAGATGAATGTGACACATATTGAAGACAACTGTGAAGAAATATTGAGAAATTACAAAGGAAGCTGTGAAGAAATGAAAGCAACCTAAGGGGTTAGGTTATGGTGGGATTAATTTCCTAAATATAATTCAGTATTTTTTGTTTGTTTGTTTGTTTGTTTTTGAGACAGAGCTTCAAGCTGTCACCTGGGTAAGGTGCTATGGCATCACAGCTCACAGCAACCTTCAGCTCCTGGGCTCAAGTAATTCTACTGCCTCTGCCTCCCAAGCAGCTGGGACTACAGGCGCCTGCCACAACGCCTGGCTATTTTTTGGTTGCAGCCGTCATTGTTGTTTGGTGGGCTGGCCTGGATTCGAACCCGCCACCTTAGGTGTATGTGGCTGGCGCCTTAGCCACTTGAGCCACGGCGCCGAGCCTAGTATTGTTTTTAGTATTTATCCCTTGCCATTTGTATGTGTTTGGGGAGCACATTGCCCATCAACAAAATTGTTAGTGTCTGGGTGCCCGTAGCTCAATGGTTAGAATGTCAGCCATGTGCATGGAAGGTGGCAGGTTCAAACCTGGCCAGGGCCAGCTAAACAAAAAAACAAAAAATAGGCTCAGCACCCATAGCACAGTGGTTATGGTGCCAGCCACATACACCTAGGATGGTGGATTCAAACCCAGCTCGGGCCAGCTAAACAACTGCAACAAAAAAAATAGCCAGGTGTCGGGCACCTGCAGTCCCAGCTACTTGGGAGGCTGAGGCAGGAGTTTGGGTCCAGGAGTTTGAGGTTGCTGTGAGCTGTGATGTCATAGCACTCTACTGAGGGCAACAAAAGTGAGACTCTCTTTCTTTCTTTTTTTTTTTTTTTTTTTTGAGATAGAGCCTCAAGTTGTCCCCCTGGGTAGAGTGCTGTAGCATCATAGCTCACAGCAACCTCCAACTTCTGGGCTCAAGCGAGTCTCCTGCCTCAGCCTCCCAAGTAGCTGGGACCACAGGCGCCCGCCACAATGCCCGGCTATTTTTTGGTTGCAGCTGTCATTGTTGTTTGGCGGGCCCAGGCTGGATTCGAACCTGCCACCTTAGGTGTATATGGCTGGCACCTTAGCCATTTGAGCCACAGGCGCCAAGCAGAGACTCTGTCTCAAAAAAAGAAAAATTGTAAGTGGTTGGGATAAAGGAGGGTTATGGGGGGCCTCAGTTAGCTCACCTCCCACAGGGGCTCAACTCTCCTTTTCATCTCTAGCTTGGACCTACAGTATCTGAACACCTCTGCTTGGGTGGTTAATGGGCATCTTACAAGTGGTTTGGCCCACACTGCAGAAAAGAGTTTGGTGCTTCCCTAAAAAGTTAAACAGAATTACTATATGACCCAACAATTCCACTCCTAGGTATCTACCCCAGAGAACTCAAAACATAATTCACAGTTACATGTGAATGCTCATAGCAGCACCTTGAATAATAGCCCCCAAATGGAAACAACCAGTGTCCTTCACTTGGAATGAATGAATAAAATGTGGCATATCTACAGAATGGAATATTATTCAGCCATAAAAAGGAACAAAGCACTGGTCTGTGCTGCATCAGACATGAACATTGAAGACTTTATGTTCAGTGAAAGAAGGCAGACATAAAGGTCATGTGGTATGATTTCATGTATATACAGGCAGAAAGCCAGGCAGTAATTGCTTGGAGCTAACTGTGGGAGGGGAATGGGAGTGACTGCTAATGGGTACTGGGCATCCTTTAGGAGTGATGAGAATGTTCTGTAATTTGCTAGTGGTGATGGTTGCACAACAGAGTGAATGTCCTAAATGCCACTGAATTGTACACTTGTAAATGGTGAAATGATTAAATTTCATGTTATGTGTATTTTACCACAATTAAAAGAGCAACATAGGTCAGTCAATGCTGTCAGCCACTGCCCTGGTCAGACTCCGCTGTGGCTTCTTGTCAGGGCCAGAATAAATCCCTGACTCTGGGCCAGGAGCTCCTCTTTCCCACCCTTTCCTTTTTCCTTTTGCTTTTCCACATTCATGCCTTCAAATTTGCTGTTCCCTTCAGCGGGGACCCCCCTTCCTACAGATGTTGGCCTGGCTGTCTGCCTTTCTTCTTTCCTCCAGGGTGCCATTCACATGTCATCCCAGACAGCTTTCCCTGCCAGACCGATGACAGCAGCCCAGATACTCTATGGCTTCCTTACTTGTTTCCTATCTTTTCATGGCTCTGATGTCTCTGGTCTCTACCTGCCACACACATGCACATTGACTTATTGTCCATTTTCCCCCATCAGCTAGAGACTTCATGACAGCAGATTTTTTTTTTTTTTGAGACAGTGTCTCACTTTGTTGCCCTTGATAGAGTGCTGTGGCATCAGAACTCACAGCAACCTCAAACTCTTGGGCTAAAGTGACTCTCTTGCTTCACCCTCCCAAGTAGCTGGGATTACAGGTGCCTGCCACAATGCCTGGCTATTTTTTAGAGATGAGGTCTCACTCTGGCTCAGGCTGGTCTTGAACACGTGAGCTCAAGCAATTCACTTGCCTCGGCCTCCCAGAGTGCTAGGATTACAGGCGTGAGCCACCATGCTCAGATGTGTTTGTCTATGTTGTTTACCATTCTATCTGCACCACACAGCTTTGGTGCCTGATGCATAGTAGGTGCTCAATAAACATCTTGTAGATGAATGTGGAAAGAAATACAAGAGGTAGTTTTTCTCTGTCTCTTTTTCTTTCACATACACATTCATATTTCAGATGAGGACATCAAGGTTCCATGTGGTCCTATTATTTGCCTGAGCCCTATAGTGCACAAGTAGTGGGGCTGGGCTTTGAAGGCAGGTCTCTGAGTAATGCAACCTGTGTAGAACAAGAATGTCTTTTTTTTTCTTTTTTTTTTTTGAGATGGAGCCTCAAGCTGTCCCCCTGGGTAGAGTGCCATGGCATCACAGCTCACAGCAACCTCCAACTCCTGGGCTCAAGCGAGTCTCCTGCCTCAGCCTCCCAAGTAGCTGGGACTACAGGCGCCTGCCACAACGCCTGGCCATTTTTTGGTTGCAGCCATCATTGTTGTTTGGCGGGCCCAGGCTGGGGATTCGAACCCGCCACCTTAGGTGTATGTGGCTGGCGCCTTAGCCGCTTGAGCCACAGGCGCCAAGCCGAACAAGAATGTCTTTATCCTATACACAGAGATGTGGGATGACGCTCATACAGACACACCCCTTCTGTGAGTGGCATAGAGTGATACAGATTCTTTCATTCATTGAGGGCTGTCATGCACAGTTGGGTAGGTTCTGCACTGAACAAGGGGGTCTACCAGAGAAGGTGAAATGCAGCCAAACTCTCCTTCTTGAGGCATGCACTGGCAGGGTAGCATCCATCTGGGGAAGTGAGTGCCCTTCTCAAATTCACACAAAGGGGCCATCTGCCTGCCCAACCATAGACATGGGGGGACTGATTGGGCTCAGGAAGGGCGCAGTGTGCCTTTGTCTCATCTGCACGAAGGCTGCTGTATGGGCTAGCAGTTCTCTAGCTCACTCCCCATTCTGTGCCAAGCCTCCAGCTGGGCACCATGGACATGATTTCTCCATTCGCTAACAGTCTCACGGGCTCCTCCAACTGCACACACGTGCACACATCCTGGGAGACACAGTTCCAGGCCATTGATAACTCCAGCAGGAGGAGGAGGAGGGAGAGCAAGAGCAGTGGCACCCTCTCCAAAGCCAGCAACGCACCCAAACACAACACACTCACACCTGGCTTCTCTACCCCTCCTGATGTGAGGCAGCAGCTATTGGTGGCAGAGCAAGGACACACTTGACAGACACAGTGCCCGGTCCAGATTCAGGGGACTAATTCTTCTTCCCTTACACCTCTCTTCACAGACAAACACACAGCAGAACTCACATATATACAAGACACTTAGGCAGTGCCCCAGACACACATGCAAGGACACCCAATGTCATCCTTGTGACACACCTGTAGCTTCCTCCCAACACATAGACACACATACACACAACTCTATGCAGACTCACAACTATTGATTTCTGTGCATTTTGAGCCACGATAGGACTCAGAGGTGATGACATCCTGGACCACACAGAGCTTTAGAGTACCTGCCATCAGGGAGGTGCCCAACCCAGTGACATGTGAACACCACCTATCTGCACACATCACAGCCTTGCAACACCATGGGTGCATGCACACACGTGCAAACACACCTTCCTCCAGCAGCATGTGACACCCTCTACCCCACAGCCAGACACACCCACCTCCATCCCCACCTGGTTCTCACCACACACAGAGACACTTTCCCCCTCCACAGTTTTCTCTCTCCACAGCCTGGGAGGAGGGGGGCCCCAGAACCCAAGTGTCCCCATTCCTGAACCCTGAATACCCTACTCCATTCCTGCTTAGGACCTAAGAGACACAGAGGTGGGGCTGCAGTCAGGGAGCCATCCTAGGGACAGGGCCTGAGCAGGGTCATATGGACCCTGGACTCCTAGAGAAGCCACTCCCCCATACCTGTCCCCTGCCCAGAACCATGGGGCACCCTACACACTCCTCTGTTCCCCCCCCAGCCATGCCAGCTGAGGTTTGGGGTGCAGAGCTGGGATGGCAGAAGGGTGGCTGGGGGAGGACTTGGGAGAGGAACAAGAAGAGGGGGCTTTGGGAGGTGGGGTGTTGGGGGGGGAGTGCCCAGAGACCTAGAAAAAGAGACAGATTCTGAAGGGGAAACAGAGGCCTGGGGAGAGGGGTATAGAGAGCTAGAGGGGTACAGATACCCACAGAGAGGACAGAGACCCAGAGAAAGAGGGGGAGGTAGAGGCTGGGGGTGGGAGACAAAGAAAGAGAGAGACAGACAGACAGGGAGGAGACATAAGCCCACAGAAAGAGGGTCCAGGGGGGTGGGTGGAGGTGGGAGAGAGTCTTGGAGAGGGGTGAACAGGGACAGGGGAGGACACTGAAGGAGAAGGAGACAATAGAGAATGGGCAGAGACCTAGAGATGTGGAGAGGAGGGGAGATAAACCCCAGGGAGGAGAGAGGGGAGGTAATGACCTACAGGGGGTCAGAAACCCAGGATAAGCTAGTTCCTCTGAGATTTGGGGGAGCTGGGCAATGGCTGGCAGAAGGTGGGAAAAGAGGCTGAAGCTCCTCCAGGCGGGTGTGGGTCCGAGGGCAAAGGGAGGCGCTCTTCCGACCGTAGGGTGGGGTGCTGACAGGTCAATTTGGGGTAGGGATATGGGTTCAGGAGGAAGCGGAGGAAAGCACAGAGAGAAGTAGAGGGCTCTGGGTGGAAGCTGGGGAGACCCCAGTTCCAAGTACGGGGGTGGAAGGGCGGGAGATCCTAAGAGGCTGCGAGGGGGAGCTGTCTGTCACCGACTGCAGGGAAGGCGGGACCGAGAGAGGGAGGAGGACCCTCCTCCAACCCACAGCCCGTGGCCGCTGAGACCCGTCTCTGCGCCCCTCCCCATCCTTGCGCCTTCCGGTCTCACTTGTCTCGGTCTCTAGGTCTCTAGTCTTGGGGAGGCCCTGTCCCTCCCTCCTCCAGGACCACCGCCTCCAGCCACCCCCTCCCTCGGCCACCACCCGTCTTCTTCTCTAACTCGATCTGCCCTTGGGTCATGGTCTTTCTTAGCCTGTGTCTCTTTGAGTCTCTGCTGCTGGCCGGTTTCTATCTCTCTCCATCCTAGAGTCTCTGTCCAGGCTGTTCTCCTCTCTGAGCCTTCATTTCCCTCCTTCCTCCGCCTATCTCTGCCTCTACATCCCTTCTGCGTCTGTCCCCTCCGTCTCCCATCTCCACTTGTCTCTCGTTGCCTGGCCCCACGCCTTTCTGTGTCTCTGTCCCAGGTTTGCTGTCTATGGATCTCTGTCCCTCAGGGTGTCTGTGTGTCTCCCCTCGTCTTCACCCTGGGCATCAGACCCCTGAGCCCTCTCTCTGGTCCCCCCACTTTCACTCGGGTCGGGTTGGGGGTTGGGGGGCGCTGCGGCGGGAGCTGTGTGTTCCCAGCGCAAAATAGACTCCTGTTGCCATGGCGACGCGAGCGGGGCCTCCGCTACGCGAACAGGGCCTCAGAGAGCGAAGCTTCGTACTGGGGGGTGAGGAGGGGGGAACACCTGGATCAGGAAGGCGGGGGCCGGGGGCACCGACGCCTGGGGCCCAGGGGCTCCTCCTAGGTCCCTGGGGAGAGAGGAGTGCTGGGCACTCTGACGGCGGGCTCCCAGGACAGGGCCTTCTGGGAGGATCTGGGCTTGCAGGGTGGGCGGTGGGGGCTCTGATTACCCAATGGGGGTTAGCTGTCTAAGAGCTTTGATGCCTGTGTCCCTGGAGGACTCAGAGGTTGCCTTCTTCGGTCCCCAAGGTTGGGGAGGAAGTAATAATGTCTGCGAATCTTGGTGACGGGAGGGAGCTCTGACGGGGGGCAGGGGGGGTGTCTGTAGAGTCCTAACTCCCAGCTCTCCAAGGGGGCTGCAGAATTCTAGGCGCCCCATATGGATCCCCCAACTCCTGAGTCTTGAGGGAGCAGGAACCACTAGGCTGAAGCCGCCTGTCCTTCCATCCATTCATCTACCCATCCATCCATCCATCCAGATGCCAGTTCTTCCTTCCTCACTGCCCCCGTGTCCCCCATGCCTCAGTTTCCCTCTCCACACCAGGGTGCGGTCGCACTCACCTCGCTTTTCGGATGCGGGACCCTTGTGGAGTCGGGGGCGGCGACAGCGTTGGGGGCCAGCCGAGGGAGGCAGAACCAGCGCGTGTCTGCCAGCCGACGGGTCTGGGCGTGCGCGCGCACTGCTGGGGGTGGAGGGGGGCAGGCGTGTTGACGACCCCAGCCGCTCGCTTCAGTGCAGATGCGCGCTGGCTTCCGTGCAGATGTGGCTGCGGCCAGCCTTTGCCTTTGCCTTGCACTGACTTCGAGCAACGAACAGGCACCTCCCCCTCCCCACCTGCTGGGGACCCTTCTTTCTCCTGCCTGCAGCCCCCAGTCGCCCCCGGGATACCCCCCCAAACCCAAGAATGGTTCAGTCCACAGTCTCTTCAATGTTTATTCTGCAAGTCCCGGTCCCACAGTCTGTGACATTCCTTCCCCCTCCCCTTCCCTTCTCGTGAAGTAGCCGGGGGCTGAGCCACGCCTTAATCTCGGCTCAACCAACTCCCGCCCAGCCACCAGGAGTCTCATTTGCATTTCCGGGAGTAGCTGCCCAATGGGAAGATAGCATCGTGCCTCCCATTCCCAAGAGGGCGGCACTCCCTGTGGACTGCACCACTCTTGGGATCTAGGGACGGGGGCTGGAGGCATGGTTTCCACTGAGGTCCAGGTAATAGGAGGGTGATCTTCCCTCAAGAAGGCTGGAGTTTAGCGGAAGAGGGGGTTCTGGCCTTGGAAGAGGCCCAGCAGCCCGCTGTCAGGGGCGGGATCCTTGATGATCTTCTGGATCTGTGGGGGTAGGGGGTGGGTGGGTCAGGAAAAGTCAGAGGTGCCCATCTCCATGATGGCCAATCTATGGGAAGCTTCTCCATTTTCATCTCAGACACCCTCTTGATAGCACCTGACCAAGCCATATACTCCCTTTTCTCAAAAGTTTTTCTAGAGCTTCCCTTTCATCACACATACCTGATTCAGCTACTAACTGCTCAACATCTTGGGTCTGCTTTGTTGGCTTGGGCCACTAAAGGTGGACAGCTTGTCCTGGAGCATCTTGTCCATACCTTCCTCTTCTTATCTCATCTTTACCATCCCTCTTCTGGACTCCCAAATCCAGCCTAGACTGTGCCCCTGGACTCTCCAGACTCATTTATACAACTGCTTCTTAGATGGACATGAGCAACCAACCACATTTCATACATCAGCAAGTCTTACCAAATTTATGTCCAGAAAATAAGAAAAAAATGAAAAAAAAAAAAAAGGAGGGCAGCAAAAATCAATGCCAGGATCCCCACTGCCTTTATCCTGATCAAGCCCCCGTTATTGCTTTCCTGGATGCCCAAAGCAGCTGTTCACTAGTCTCCCTCCAGCCCTCCATGCTATATTCCCTAGCCCACTGGTCACACAATGCCAGAAAGAGCTTGTAAACTGAGCTGACTGTGGCCAGCTCCTCTGCACAAAACTCCAATGGCTACCCATTGCTGAAATCCTAAATCTTTGGGTGAGACCACAGTGCCACCCCCACAGGCCCTGTAACAGTTCCTTGAATAAGATGAGTAAAGCCCCACCTATCCCAGGAGCAATTCACGAGTGTCTGGTTGTTCTTCTCCTCCTGCCCCCTGCTTTAGGCCCCCTGCATCATTCTGGCTCAGCCTTCTGCACAGTCTCTTCCCAGCTTCAGGTCACAATGTGGGACTAACTGTGGTCTGGCTTTTCGTCTCTGCACCCTGATTCAGACTCTGGGAGGCAAACCTTCATGTGCCACCATGGCTGGAGCAGGTGCTGATGAACACCCCACAGAAACCTAGCAGGATCTGGGACTGTTATGTTCTGGCATTTCTGCATCATTCTGAGAGCCAAGGATTAGAAGCAGGGGGGCATAGTACCTGGGCAGACCCTGGCCTAGGAAGGCCACCTGGTGGTGGGTGTGGAATCTGAGAAACTGGGGTAGGGGCACCAGAGCCTGATGGGGCAGAGCCTGAGCAGATGGAGGGACAGGAATCTCTGCTGGACTGTCCTTCTCCAAGTTGGCCTGGCTTCCTCCCTTCTTTACTTCATTTTAAAGGCATCTATAGGAAGCCTCCCAGTCTATCTCTGCACCCTGACACTCCCAGGATCACCTCCCTGTTTCATCTTTGTCACCAGTCCTCATGGCCACCTGCTGGCTACTTTCTCATGGCAGTCCCTGGCAGTCTCCCATGCAAGAACTTATCCCCATTCCTGAGGCAGCAGCATGCTGTGTGCCATGAGTTCAAAGATAAGATATTAGCAGATGCACAGAGGGGGTGGCTGGGGTGGGCATTACCTCCTTGAACTGGGGGTGGGCAGCATCTCCCACAAGCTGCAGGATGAGCCCTTCACTGGTGGAAAGGAAAGCTCCACTCTGCCGCATGCGGGCCAGTGCCACTAGCCGGTCTACCTGGCTGTGAGGACAGAGGGAAGGTAGGTATGGATGCCTCACTAGGACCCCCAGACATCCTGGCATGTGTGGCAGGAATGCTACCCTGTGCTCCTTCATGGGTGTCCCTGGTCACCCCAATGTACTCACCCCTGGGGGGGAGGCCTCTCACCTGCGTGAGGAACAGGCATCCACCACCACGTGGACCTGCAGTCCCCGGTCCAGGAGGTCCAGGGCTGTGTTCTGAGGGCAGAGAGAAGTCAGGACCAAGCCCGACAAGAACAGGGGTTTCAGATGAGGGACTGGGGACCTGGGTCAAAATTAGGAACCCAGAATGGGGATGAAGGGGTCTGGGGTCATAGAGGTACTAAGACAGGGTGGGGTCCTAAGACAGGATGGGACCCACAGGTGAGGATAAAGGTCCCAGGTCAGGATGGGAGCCCTGCAGGAAGGCAGAGGGCTCGGGATGAGGGAGGGATGTTTTATTTACATGAGATCTCACATGAGAATGGGGACCCCATCCCAGGGGTTGGGCAGGATCTCACCAAGATGCAGGCCTGTGTCTCGATGCCGCAGAGCAGCACAGAGCGCAGCTGTGGCCAACTGTCCAGCTCCTGATGCAGGGCAGGCACCATGCTGAAGCAGGTTTTGGGCAGAGGCCGCAGACCCTCAGCCCCCAACTCTGGCACCGTGGAGCCCAGGCCTTCTGGGTACTGTTCTGTCAGCACAGCTGGCACCTCCAGCAGCCGGGCCACCTGTGTTGGGGAAGGGGAAGAGGGGCCTGAGTCTGAGGAAGGAGTGGCTGGGACCCCTTGGTCTGATGGAGGAGGTTCTGCATCATACCCTGAGCATGCGAGCTGCCACAGAGACAATCTGCGGGAAGTAGGCAATGTGGTGGCGGAACTTCTCCTGCATGTCACACAAGAACAGCACAGATGATCCTGGGAGGACGCGGCCCAGGCTGGGCCTGCCTGCCATTTCCTAGGGGTGGGCAGAGACACCGTGGGGGGGTGGTTAGGCCGGAGTAGAGTTCTGTCAGGCTGTTCAGTGCCCCTGCGCTCAGAGCTTCATGGGCTCCAGGGTACTTTGCACACCTTCTTCCTCCCTACAGGTCTCTGTGTCTGTTGATCCCTGGGCCTGGATCATGCTTCTTATTTCTGTTATGTGGATGCCCCTTCCCTGGGAACCTTCTGGACTATGTCTACAGTGGGCTCCCAGTGTCACCTCCAGACCTAGCCTTCTCCTTTCTAGACACTGCACAGTATCAAGAAGTACTTCTGGTTTGGCGCCTGTGGCTCAAGCAGCTAAGGTGCCAGCCACATACACCTGAGTTGGTGGGTTCAAATCCAGCCCGGGTTTGCCAAACAACAATGACAGCTGCAACCAAAAAATAGCCGGGTGTCGTGGCGGGCGCCTGTAGTCCCAGCTACTTGGGACATGGAGGCAGGAGAATCTCTTGAGCCCAGGAGTTGGAGGTTGCTATGAGCTGTGATGCCACTGTACTCTACCCAGGGTGACAGCTTGAGGCTCTGTTTAAAAAAAAGAAAAAAAAAAAAAAGAAGTACTTCTGTGCCAGCTAGGCACTGTAGCCCAGTAGTTAGAGCACTGTCCCTGCAAACTGGGGGCAGCAAGTTTGAACCTCACCTGGGCCTTCTGTAACTCCATTACTATGTGCCCCCTGCAGGGACTCTGTTTTTTTGTGTGGTACATCCAGCCCACTGCCCAGGGTCTCTCCGAATGATGGTCCAGGGGTCTGATCCTCACCCCAAGAGAAAACTGAGGCCCAACCAGTGAAGGGACATACCCAGGGGACTGGAGCCAGCACTGAGGAGCCCAGATGTCAATGAAGGCTTTGTCACCTCCCTTCTCCACAGCCTATGGGGTTGGTAGTGTTTTGAGAGCCTTCAAGTCTGACTTGGCCAGCGTGGTCACTGACTGCTCTCTGAAGCTCAGTTTACCCATGTGGAAAAAACAAAAGCTGGCTGAGCCCCTCCTAGGTCTTGGAATATAAGGATGGTACCCCATCTGATGGAATATTATCCAGTTACAGAAAGGACCAGAACATTGACACATGTGACATGGATGGAACACAAAAACAAAGTGCTCCAGCAGAAACAGGGGCTCACGCCTGTAATCCCAGCCTAAGAGAAATGATCTCTGTAAAAACACAAAGTTGACTCTGCTACTCCACTGTCTCAGGACCAGCCTAAGCAAGAGTGAGACCCAGAACAATTAGCCAGGCATAGTGGCAGGCACCTATAGTCCCACATACTCAGGAGACTGAGGCAAGAGGATCACTTGAGCCCAGGAGTTTGAGGTTGCTGGGAGCTATGAGACCATGGCACTCAAGCCAGGGTGACAGAGTAAAATAACAAAACAAAACACAGTGATCAGTGAAAGGCCAGATTTAAAAGGGCACATAGTGTAGGATTCCATTTATATGAAACTTCCAGTACAGGCAAATCCACAGATACAGAAAATGGATTGATGGCTGCCAGCAGCTAAGGAGAGGATTTTGTGGTGACCACTAATGGCCATAGGGGTACACACACCATGAATGTACTAAGTGCTACTTACTTGTAAACTTTAAAGTGGTTCAAAGGTGCTGGGTGAGGTGGCTCACACCTGCAATCCCAGCACCTTGGGAGGTCAAGGTGGGAAAATGGCTTGAGATTAGGAGTTTGAGACCAGCCTAGGCAATATAGTGAGACCCCCATCTCTTAAAAAAAAAAATAAAAGCTGGGCATGGTGGTGAGATTGCTTGAGCCCAGGAGTTCAAGGAGGTAGTGAGCTGGCTCGGTGCCTGAGGCTCAAGCGGCTAAGGCGCCAACCACATACACCTAAGCTGGCTGGTTCAAATCCAGCCTGGGCCCGCCAAACAACAATGATGGCTGCAACCAAAAAATAGACAGGTGTTGTGGTGGGCGCCTATAGTCCCAGCTACTTGGGAGGCGGAGGCAGGAGAATCGCTTGAGCCCAAGAGTTGGAGATTGCTGTGACCTGTGATGGCACAGCACTGTACCCATGGTGACAGCTTGAGGCTCTGTCTCAAAAAAAAAAAAAAAAGATGCAGTGAGCTATAATGGCATCACTGACTCAAAACAACAAAACAAAACAAAACAAAAACAAAAAAGGTTCAAAGCGTAAATTATTATTATTATTATTATTATTATGAGACAGAGTCTCACTATGTTGCCCTCGGTAGAGTGTCATGGCATCACAGCTCACAGCAACCTCAAACTCTAGGGCTTAAGCGATTCTCCTGCCTCAGCCTCTCAAGTAGTTGGGACTACAGGCATCCACAACAATGCCTGGGTATTTTTTGTTATGGTTGTCATTGCTGTTTAGCTGGCCTAGGCTGGGTTTAACCTTGCCAGCCTTGGTGTATGTGGCTGGCACCGTGACCACTGTGCTACAGGTGCTGAGCCATAAACGTTAAGTTTTATCTAAGTGTATTATACCACAGTAAAAAACATAGACTATGAAAAAGAAACTGGCAGGTGGCGCCTGTGGCTCAAAGGAGTAGGGCGCCAGCCCCATATACTGGAGGTGGCAGGTTCAAACCTGGCCCTGGCCAAAAACTGCAAAAAAAAAAAAAAAAAAAGAAAAAAAAGAAAAGAAAAAGAAACTGGGCTGGTAAGACCACCTAGCTAGCAATTCTTTTACGGAGGATAAAACTGAAATCCAGAGGGGCCCATAACTCACCCAAAGCCCCACAGCAGCCCAGGACACATTGCAGGGTAGCATGTCCCAGCCTGTATTCCTGGGTGACTAATTTCTCGGTCCCTGAGTTGTCACACAATCGGTGTTCTAGCTTGTCTTTTATCTTTAGCTCTCTCTCCCACTGCCTCAGTTAGTGCTCATTCCTTTATTCCTTAATTCATTTGAGAAACAGAGACCCTGGGGACTAATGAAGGGTAAGCTGGGAAACTGGAGGACACTGGCACTAAATAAAGGATGCTATTCTGGGCCAGGCAAGGTGGATCATTCCTGTAATCCTAGCACTCTGGTAGGTCAAGGTGGGTGGATTACCTGAGCTCACGAGTTCGAGACCAGCCTTAGATAGAGTGAAACCCCGTCTCTGAAAAAATAGCTGAGTATTGTGGTGGGTGCTTGTAGTCCCAGTTACTTGGGAGGCTAAGGCAAGAGAATTGCTTAAGCCCAAGAGTTTGAGGTTACTGTGAACTGTGATGCCATGGCACTATACCGAGAGTGACAAAGTGAGACTTTGTTTCAACAACAACAACAACAACAAAACTAAAGGATGCTATTCTGTAAGCTGGTGGTGCGTGCACTGGTGTTTATTGCTATTTTGTAAATGCTATCTATCTACCACAGGAAATATGTTCTATGTGCACTGTCTCAAATTTTAAAACTAATGGATGGTTAAAATAGTAAATTTTATCTCAATAATAAAAAAAAAAGATTGAATGGAAACTCCCTCTAAAACAAAACCACAGTGAATTAATTAATCACATAATTACAACTGTGATAAGTGCCAGATTTCGAGGGAGCCAGATCTGTGTTGGCAGTTCTGCAAAGTTCTCCCTGAGGAAGTGAAGAGAGAAAAATGATCTCTGTGAAGACACAGAATTGACTCTGCTATTCCCCTGTCTCAAACACCATTCCCACAGGGCTTCTCTCTGTCCTGGGGATTAAGATGCACCCCACTACCCAGGCTCTGGGGACCCTCCAGCCTTAGCCCCTCCCACCACATCCCACCCCAGAGCCTTTCCCAGGCTGCTTCCTCCACTTGGCCCTGCACACTCCCACTCACCTGCTAACTCCTCCTTCCCTGAGCACAAGGCTGAACCTGGGGACACTTGAGCCCCCAAAGGACAGTTGAGGGAAAGAGGAACTGTAGAACTGACAGGCAGGTTGCAAGAGTTTTGCTGAGGTCAGTGGGGAGATACAGGGGGACAGGTCTGGGGCTTACAGCACGTGTCTGTAGCATGGAGAGGCTCCCTTTGGTCTTGTTCACTGTGGATCATAACTCCAGGGACAGCTGTGAGACCAAATTTCCCCAAATTATGGATACACATACACACACACAAAAACCTTTGACCCAAAAAAACCTGTTCCTAAGTATTTATCCTGCAGATATTCCTGTGAAATAACTCAAGGATATTCATTACAGGACTCTTTGGCAGAGTAAAGGAGCAGAAATAAATCTCAATGTCCACAGGTAGGGCACTGGGCATATAAATCATGGTGTATCCCCACTCTGGAGTTGGTTCCTTGCAGCCAGAAAAAGACACCAGGGAGCTCTTTAAGTAACAATATGGAAACATATTCAAGAGAAGTTAAACGAAAAAGGCAGTGGAACAGCATGTATGGAATGCTGCCGTTTGTGCCAAAAAAAGGAAGGAAAATGTGTATATTGCTTATGTCTATATCTGCTACCTCTGGCAAACAGGCAAGGAATGGAAGGCTTGGGCGGGGGAACTGGATCGCTGGGGGACAGAGTGTGAAGGAGATAATTTTTACTGTGCCCTTCTCTGTTTCTGCTGAAATTTGGATTCTGTGTAACAGGTTGTCTAGCAAGAATAAAAGGAGTGCAGTAAAAAGTTTACAAACATCAAAACTGACAGATGTTCTACCTTTTTTTTTTTTTTGAGACAGAGTCTCATTCTGTCATCCAGGCTAGAGTGCCATGGTGTCAGAGCTCAAAGCAACCTCAAACTCCTGGACTCAGCCTCCCAAGTAGCTGGGACTACAGGCACCCACCACAACACCAAGTTAGTTTTTCCACTTCTAGTAGAGACAGGGTCTTGCTCTTGCTCTGGCTGATCTCTAACTCCTGAGCTCAAGCAATCCACTTGCCTTGACCTCCAGAGGGCTAGGATTACAGGCATGAGCCACTCTGCCCACCCAATGTTTGACTTCTTGATCTGGATACTATTTACACCAGGCGTTCCCTTGATGAAAATTTGAGTTATGTATTTGTGATTTGTACGATTTTCTGTATATGTGATATTCTTCCATAAAAGGTTTTCAAAATAGGAGATACAATGAAGAGGCCTCCATAGCCCCAGGTGGGGCTAGACTGGAGGCAGAATGGAGGCAGAGTCTAGAGAGGAGTCTGGGACTGGGGTCCACTCGGGCAGGGGAGATACACAGGAGGAAGCAGGACAGAGAGACTGGAGGCAGGGTGGTGGTGCAGGTGGGGCTTGAGGGAAGGGGAGGAGAACTTTCCTCAGGCTTTGGGTCCAGTGCAGGGGCATGACCCTGAGCACTAACTGAAGAACCTGGGGAGGGAACTGATCTTGTGAGATGAAAAATCTAAGTAAGTGTATGTGCGGGAAAAGGTGTGTATGTGAAATGTGGAGAGAGGTCTGGGCTGGAGACAGGTTTGGGGGTGTCAAGGTAGTGATGAGAAGGTTCAGCCTGAGGTGGACAGTGCCCAAGGCCAAAGGAGGCATGGCTGCAGGTGGGTAGCAACCTGGGTAGGTAGGTGCAGAGCTGATTATTTCCCCACAGAGCCTCAGGGAACCTAGCTTTGGAGCCCAGACTTCCTGGCTGTGTGAACTGGGGCAAGTTTCACTCTGTGTCTGAGCCTCAGTTTCCTCCCCGGAGAAATGGGAGATTAAACCCACTCACCCTGCAGGGTTGATAGAGTACAGAGGCGGTGGGCACAACCCGGGGAGGATTCAAGTCCCTGTCCAGCGAATTCTAGAGTGGTTAAGTAGAGTCCTTATGGCTGTGTGACCTTGGCCCAGGACTCCCGGCCATAGTCTCAGTTTCCCCATCTGCAAGGGGGAAGTCAGTCTCCAAGCAGCGCGGATAGCGAGGGGGGACTTACCTGGAAGGTGCCAGGTTCGGGCCTAGACCAACAGGTGGGACCCCAGGGACGTGAACTCACCTCTCGGCGCTCGGACTCCCTCCGTTGAGGACTTCTCGCCGGGTTCCCAGGCGGGGTCACGGTTTCTCTCTGTCTGGGCACGAGGGCAGTCCCCAGAACCGTCGGCATCACGCCCATAAGGTACAAGTCACCAATCGACGCTCGCCCAGCTGGGCACTCCCCCTTCTCTCAGCCAATTCGCACGCACTTCTGTCTTTGAGCCCCACCTCCATCCACGCCATCCGCGTCCCGCCCATCCGGGAGGAGCAAACCAATAGGTATTCCCTAATTCTGTCCCGCCCCGCCCCCACCCTCAACCAATTTGCAAGCGCCGCTACTTCCCCTGGAGAAGACGGTGCTGAGAGCGTGATTGGCCCTCACTGGCACATCAGGGGCGGGGAAGCAGCATGTGCAACCAATGGAGAGGCATAGAGGGTCTGAGTTGTGGGCTCTGGGGCGGAGCGGCGCGGTGGTCGCCGAAACGTCCTGATTCTAGCTGGAAACGGTCAATCGCCATTAGCCCCGCGGTGCGGACGGGATCTCTGAGGCCCAGGGAGACAGCGACAGGCCGTGCCCAAAGTACCAGCAGGCCTGGGATTCGAAACAGGCCCTATTGTCAAAAGACAAGGGCTTACAAAGACACCAAAGCACCTTCGAGGAAAGGGTTAAGGGAGCAGTTAAGCGAGGGATGTGACGCTCCCTCGGTTTCCCTATCTGTACAGCTGTCACCTCCTCAAGTGGTGTTTGTAACTCTACGCTTGGTAATGGGGCTTGAGAAAAAGAGAATTTCCCAATGATTTTGTAATAAAATCCAAACTCCTCCCAATTCGTGGTCTGCCTTCATGGATCCCCTCAGACCCCACCTCTTACTCTGATCAACCCACACTAGCCTTCCCTGCTGTTTCCCCAACAGCCCACCTCAGGGCTTTTGCACATGGCTTTCTTGCTGCCTGGAGCTCCAGCTCTTCCAATGCTGGCTGTTCCTGGCATTCAAGGCCTTCCATGACCACCCAATGTCAAGGAGGCACTCCATCAGGTCGCTGTTTTATTTTCTTCACAGTACTGATTTCAATATGAAATTCGAAATTTATTTTGCTTTTTGAAAAAAAAATTATGGATTAGGCCAGGTGCATTGGCTTAGGCCAGTAGTAACCCTAGCACTCTGGGAGGCTGAGGCGTGTGGATCACTTGCGCTCTCAAGTTCAAGACCAGTCTGAGCAAGAGCAAGACCTAGACTCTACCAAAAATAGAAAAACTATCTGGGTGTTGTGGTGGGTGCCTATAGTTCCAGCTATTTGAGAGGCTGAGGCAGGAGCATCACTTGAACCCAGGAGTCTGAGGTTGCTGTGAGCTACGTGGCCATGTCACTCTAGCCAGGGTGATGGAGTGAGATTCTGTCTCAAAAAAAACAAAAAAAAAAGTATGGATGTACTCATTTATTGTCAATCCAGCCCCCACCCCTAACACACACACATGCACTCATGAGCTCCATGAGGCAGGAATCTTGTCTGCCTTGTCTACTGTTGACAACTCCTAGACCTAGGCCTGGGCCATTATAAGTAGTCAATAATCTTTGGAAATAAACAAGTGAAGACCAGCCAGGGGTCCAGAAAGTGAGGTGCTTGAGAAGAGGAAGAGGTGGGGGCCCTGGCCCTAGGAGGAGACCCCTTAGGCAGTGGTCTGCAGTGGGAGTCTGGGCTTGATTTATTTTCTCAGGGGCTGTAGGAAGGGTCAGGGGATTCCCTGGGAGGGTGCTGAAGAGCCATCATGGGGGGAGCCTCTGGTCTCTCTGGGGCCTGGGCGGCACTGTGGTTGGGCATCACAGGGAGTAGGGCCCCAGCCCCCAGAGATCCCCTGGGAATCCCAGGCACAAGGTATGTCCTGCCAATCCCTCCAGCCCCAGTTGTGAGCCAGGAGCACTGCCCCTCCCCCCAGGGCATGCTGGGCAAGGGGGAGGGGATCATAGCATTGTGGGGCTTGCCTGAGGTCTGGCTGGCCCAGAACAAGATAGGACATATCCAATGACAGCAGGGGTGCACCAGTGGGCAGAGGATATGAACAGGGGTCATATGGCATGGAGGAGCACTCTGGGGAGAACACAATATCATCAAAAAGGTCAAGGGTGGAGGTTTCCAGGGCAGCAAGGCTCAGACTGGCACTGGCATGGGGTACCTCGGTGGGGGGCATAGCACAGGCAACCCCCAGGAAAGGGGACGGCGGTGGTGGTGGTGGTGGCTTTTGAAATGGCGGTCTCTGGGGAGGTGCCTCCTGTGACAGGATGGACAGGGCCAGGCGCTGGGTTGCGGCCTTGATCTTGGTGAACTGCCTGCAGAGACAGATGTTACTTAGGTGACCATGAATGACTCCTCTCCTGTCTGCCCTCCCTGGAGAGGTGTATCCCTTCTCTTTCTCCATACTAATCTCCTTACTCCTAGCTCCATTTTCTTGTGTTTGACAATTCATTCTTCTGACCCCAATCATAGGGAATCTCTGAACAGTTGTTGAGGTTGTGAACTGCCCAGCCAGGATCTCAAGTCCAGGTCTAGGCACATTTATGATATTTTGGATTTATTAGGACCATGTTCCACCATATAAAAATAAAAAGTGTATTTTTTTTTTTTTTCTGAGATAGAGTCTCAAGCTGTTGCCCGGGGTAGGGTTCTGTGGTGGTGTCATAGCTCACAGCAACCTCCAACTCAGGCTCAAGTGATCCTCTTGCTTCAGTTTTCCTATTTGTAGTAGAGACAGAGTCTCACTTTTGCTTAGGCTGGACTTGAATATGTGAGCTCAAGCAATCCACCCACCTCGGCTTCCAGGGTGCTAGAATTACAGGTATGAGCCACCAAGCCTGACCCCTGCCAAATGTCTCAAGGAAGGGGTGTGTTTTATTTTATTTTATTTTACTTTTTTGCAGTTTTTGGCTGGGGCTGGATTTGAACCTACCAACTCCAACATATGGGGCCTTACTCCTTTGAGCCACAGGTGCCACCACTGGAAGGGGTGTGCTTTAAAAAATATTCACATAAAGGTGCACTATGGGCTAACAGTGGGCCTATGGATTCTGCTTCCTATATAGCCTTTGAATCTGCCCAGCTTTCAGCATCTCCACTACAATAGTCACTGCACTGGTTTCCCTACTAGCATTCCTAATCCCTCACTGACAATATGAACTGAGCTCACAAATTGCAGTGGGCTAAATTGTGTCTCACCCTCAATTAATATATTCTTACCATCTCAGTGTCTCTGACTGTGGCTGTATTTGGAGACAGGGTCTTTAGAGAGGAGATAAAGTTGAAATGAGGTCATGAGGGTGGGCCCTAATCCAATCCGACTGGTGTCCTTATAAAATGAGGAGATTAGGACAAAGACCCCCACACAGAGGACAATCCTGTGAGGACACAGGGAGAAGACAGCTATCTGCAAAATAAGGAGGGCCTTAGAAACATCCAGCCCTGCTTAGACTTTGATCTCCAACTTCTAGCTCCAGAGATAATAAATACTTGTGTAAGCCACAAGTGTCTGTGGCACTTGGTTGTGACAGCATGAGCAAACTATACACAAACCTAATGTTGATCAGAATAGGAGCAAGTCACAAGTAGTGGCTGTGTGACTCCACTTATTTAAAGTTCAAAAACAGGCTAAACCAATCTATGGGGAGAGAAATCAGGATGACAGTTTATGGTAAGGAGCTACTTATTGGAGGGCCTCAGGGTACAAGCCATGCTCTGATTCTGGATCTAAGTATTAGTTTACACTAAGAGCTTCTCTTTGGGAAAATTCTTCAAGCTCTGCATTGATGATATGTGTGTATTTTTGTCTGTATGTTAAATGTCCATGGAAAGGTTTATTTAACAAAAAATCTAATATCATATGATGCTGTTTGTTTCTGGGGAGTCTTCCAGTGCTCTATTTTTCTCTGCATAGTGCTCATCAGCTTCTATTGTACTACACAATTTTTTGAAATTGAGGTAAAATTTACATAGCACAAAATCCACCATTTTAAAGTGTGCGATTCAGTGGCATTTAGAATATTCACAATGTTGCGTGACCACCGCCTTTTATTTTAGAACTTTCCATCGCTCCCAAAGGAAACCCCATTCCCCCTCTCCAACTCTGCAACCTCTAATTGGTTTTCTGTCTCTCTGGATTTGCCTACTCTGGGTATTTTATGTGCATGAAATCCTATATGTGGAGCCTTCTGTGACTGACTTTTTTCTAACCTTAGCATCTGTATCTAAGGGTCATCTGCTCAGTTGCATCACACTGTGCTGTTTACTTATTTATTTTGGTCATTCCTTACTGTCTACCACCCCCGGTGGAACACAAGCTCCAGGAAGGTAAGGGATTTTATCTACTTTGCTCAAGGATGGGTCTCCAGGGCCTGGTACAGGCCTGGAACACAGTAAGCACTCCATAAGCAGGAGCCCTGGGATCTGCTCCTCTCACTTCTGCCTGAGCCAGGTTTCTCCCAAACCAAGGGTTCTGGCTTCTCCCCACATCTGCCTGTGCCAACCCCCCTCCCCCAATGCCTCACCTGCAGATCTGGTTGTGCAGAAACCGCCTGTGGTTGGGCCTCCTCTTGGGGGGACGCAGGCGTCGGGGCTGCAGGGCCCGCAGCATGTGGGTGGCTGCCCCACTCACAAAGGCACACAGCTCCCGGGGGCCAGGCTCAGAGACCACAGGGTCTGCAGGGGCCCCAGGGTGCATGGCTGAGGTGGTCCAGAATAACTCCCCACAATGCTGTGTATCAGAAAGCACTCCCCAAATCTGTGAGGAGGAGGGATGGTGGGCTCTGGGTGGTGCCCCAGAATTAGAGAACTAGGCCAAGGCATCCCTCTGGTCCTAAGCTTGACTCCATCTTCCAGGCGCTGGACTTGAGGTCTGAGGGAGATGGGGGCTGATATAGGGAGCAGGAGTGGAGGGGGCTTTCAGTGCCCCCCCCAAGTGCCCAATTAGCACATAGTTGGACCTGGGATGTGGGACAGCATAGATGTGGGGGCAGAGAATCACACTGGAGATAGCCAATTAAGGGAACAAAGACCTCAATAGGGAGGGGAGGCCAACAGTGAGTCAACCACAGCGATTAGTGTTGAGGACCC